CTTAACCACTAGCTTTGCTGCAATTCAAGGCTATTCTTTTCTAAAAGCCAATAAAATAATAACGATCAGGATATCCACAAAGAGAATGGAACCATCACTTAGTGAATATATACAGCCCAACACTAAAAAACACAGAAAAGAAGTATCTTAACTGACATCATAGATTAATCTAAATTATCAAGAAAATACTTTAAACTATAGTGGTACACCAAGCTTATCACTCCTTGGAGAGGTCTCTCTTAATTTTCTTATGAACTTGCAGAGTTAGCAAGGCAAAATGAAATATGAGGGCACACCAAAAAGACTCGATGGAATTTTTATCATTTTTTGGTTGTCAACTTACAAAGAAGCAAAACTGTGCTAGAGCTTTTTAAAAAAAAAAAAAATCACATGAACCAGTGGAGTTCACAACAGAATTAATGCTAAATTTGAACCCTTTCTAAGGTACAGTAAATAATATAACCCTATAACCTCATATTTTATGAAAGAATTTCACATTTTACAAAGGACTACAGTATTTATCACTTTGTCTGATTCTCACAACTCTGTGAGTTAAGTAGGATTAGTACTATTATTCTTATTTTACAAATGAGTAAACTAAAGCTCAGAAAAGTTATATATTTTACATGGTCTAGATAGATCTTGTGACCCCAAGTGATTCTTCTATCACACCATTCTGCCAACAATTTTATGCTTTACACTTGTTATTACATAAAGATTAATGTTTAGCCAAAAAACTTGGAAAATACAACAGAACATAAATGAGTATTTTGTTCTTTAAAATGTTAACAGAGTTTTACTAATTATCACTAGCTACACAATTTATCTAGCTAGAATAATTAATCAGTTGGCCATGCCAAAATGAACTTGGAATCCAAGAAAAATCTGCATTTAAAGCTAAGGGAATCCAATTTTAAATGCTTAAATGTGAAATAATGTGGCCCTATAACAATACTATTTCTCAGGAGTTTAAAAAAAAATCACTTCTAACTATCATTCATCTCAGTCACTGACACTTATTCTAAACAAAGTAAGACAATTAACTATATCAAGAAACAGAAAGGGTTGGTGAACCAAATGTGACCATTTAACAAATAAGTGAAATAGTTTAGGTTTGGATTACTGGGGAGAATTTCTTTTGAAAAGCCATATAATTAATCAAGAAAATCCCCAATAAACTGTACTTAAAAGTGTACAAAAATAAAAACTTTGTGGTTTATAAATTGCATACTATATCCTCACATCTCAAAGCTAGATGGCAGACCACTCACCTTGAGCTTGCAAAGGAGTTGGCCCAAAACTAGGTTAAAAAAAAATTATGTCTTCAGAAAAAGTTTATGGGAATATTGTGGAACTTTTTTTGTCCTCACTGTACTATGCATGAGAGTGACTTGATCTGGTCCCCTGTAAATTGTTTATACAGGGTCCATGCTGGAAGTGTAAGAGATTGCAGCTGGCTACCTATACAAACAGAACAAGGAGAAATGGCTGCATTGCATTGTTATTGCCCAGTACAGACTTTATCAGTGCAAAGAATGTGAGGCTTTTTTCTGTGGACTTGACTAACAGTACAGGTCTGGAGCCAGCTTAAAAAGAACTTTATCCAATAGAACTGTCTACAGAGACCCTTGGATGACAATGGAGTTTATAGGGTGAAGAAAACTAACAGTTGAAAACTAAGAGCTGCAAGCAAGTTGTAAGCAGCTGGCTAGAGGTTCTACCCATTACAGCAGAGACTAACACATCAGCTGATCACCAGCTAGGCACACAACTAAACTAGTCAGGTGTGGCTATGTGACACACTTCTAGCCAATGGAAGGTGAGAAAAAGTAATGCGGATCACTTCCAGGTGGAGTCCACAGAAACTTCTCATATGTCTTTCTCCTTGCTTTCCCATTCCTACTCCATGAAAAAGGAGAGATATTTACTGGTTATTATACATTGAATGCCTAATCGGAACTGGATTTTTTTCATATATTATCTTACTCCAATCTATCTATACTGAATGGTAACAAACTCAACTCAATCAGATCCTAACTCCTAAAAATTATGAATTCCATAGAGTGCAACAGGTGGCTGTCTTCTTCTGAAGATACGACAAAAATCTGAAGTCATGGGAGGTACTGTATTCTTGTGGGGGTAAGTGGAGGGGATCAGAGGAGTTCTTGCATCCTCAATGGCGAGGGGCCATCAATCCAGTTCTCCATGAAGCCTACCGCATATTCTAAGTTAGGAGCAAGAGGACCCAGAGTCTGTCTTTAGTTGGTTAAATGGTTTCCTTATAATGGAATTCCCATCACCTGAGGTTATGCTTCTTAAAATGGGCGATGCAAACCTATGACTACAGTAAACTTGAAATTATCAGAAGCTACAGAATAAACAGCAGTCTCTCTTCCTAGAAGAGCAATGTTTTGATGTGATGAATAATTCAAAACAGCATCAACAATGAACATATTATAAAACTGAATGCAAAAGTCACATGAATTTTTAAGGTTGAAGATTACAATTCAAAGAAATCTCACTAAAGTGTTAATTCAGGCTTTGTGTCCAGATATCACAAGAATATTCATGTACCTGTTGTTAAAAAGCTATTGCAATGAAAAAGTTGGAGAAGCACCAACCTGTGCTAACTTAGGTTCTTTTCATAGTAATCTGAAAGTCTAACTCACCAGTCATTTAACACATTAACTGCCATGTGAGTTGTATTTAACTCATGCTAGTTTTGAGCCCAGGGCCTCATGAAGCATTGGTAACTCACATGTCTCTTTACCTTGAGCTGTGTGAAGTATTTTTCAAGTTGCATATAACTCAGCCACAGAAAACAATAAAAAATAACAAATTTTTCATTAAATTAGAATTGTTTTGTTTTCAAAGTTTTTATTCTATTTTCGTAATAAACACCATGGCCTCGAGGAAAAAAAATTTTTTTTCTAGTGTGGTAGTCAATGTGTTAATGTGAATGTTTTCTTTTATAGCCCCTATGAGACTTTAAACTGCACCAGGATAGGACGTTTTACTCTTACGTATATCCTTTGTGGTAGGGCCAAATAATAGCCCCCCAAGAAACCTAGATCCTAATTCCTGGAACCCATGAATGTTTCATTATATGACAAAAGGGACTTTACAAATGTAATGAAAGATCATGAGATGGAGAGATTATCCTGGATTATATGGGTGGGCCCTACATGTAACATCAAGTGACCTCAAGTCAGAGGGAGAGTTGACTACAGAAGAAATATGATGGAAACAGAGATTGGAGTGATGTGCTTTGCATAAAGGAGCCACAAACAAAGGAATACAGGTGGCCGCTAGATGCTGAAAAAGGAAAGAAAAGTGGATCTTCCTCTGAAAGCTTCCAGAAGTAATCAGGCCTTAAACACCTTGTCTTTTGCCCAGTGAAAATGATTTCATACTTCTGACCTCCTGAACTAAAAGAGAGTGTGTGTTGTTTTAAGTTACTAAGTTTGTGGTAATTTGTTACAGGACACATATGAAATTAATACACCCTTTCAATAGTTTAGCAGTAATTTGGACTTACCTGCCCTAAAATATCAAATTGAATTACCATGAAGACCATTCCAGTTCATAAACATAAAAATGCTCTTATTTTTGCTAATTAAAAAAAATCTCAAATATGTATAAATCATTGAAAATGTAGTTCTTTAGAAGTTGCAGGAAAAATAGTCATGATTTTCAGTTAAAATAAGATACAACTCAAACACTGCATGGATCATGATACACTGTGAGAGAAAAGAACTCAGAAAAGCAGTTACGTGGGTGATTTACTTTTCATTTATGCTACTTACACCAGTCTAAGGTAAGGGTACAAACCAGACAAGTAACACTTCTACACTGACAGGGAATACTGTCCTGAACCGTGGGCAAGCAGTCCACGTAGGCTTATGAGATATCTCACACTTACTGGTACTTGGCTGCATGCTAACCTGCGCAGTACGTTCAAATGAGAGTCTAGACTCCACAGGGAAGAATTTGAAAAGCAGAAACACTCATATGTAGTTTACATCAGTTACTTATAGTCAATATCCACATCATTTGATCCTCACAACTCCAAGAAGTGGTCAAGTTTGGTACTGATTTCAATTCTGCGGTTGAAGAAGCTGAGGCTGACTTGCCCCGTCAAAGGCTAATAACTGGCTCTTACTTCAGTATGTTTCTACTAGATCATTTTACCTTGAAAATGACAATCAATTAATTCATTCCCAGGTATGTTTTACTGACGTTTTGGGGTTTTTTTGTGGAGACGGGCCTCCCAACGTGCTGGGATTACAGGCATGAGCCACCGTGCCTGGCCTGTATTGACTTTTAAAATAATTTCAAGTTAAAAAAGAAAACAGGGGCAACATTTTACAATATCACCTTTTAATTTTACGTCCATGGAAGCCGAATGCTACAATTTGTCAGAGACAAGATGAAGAGATCACACCGACGAATAATCTAATGCCTAAGTCTGTTTCGTCCGTGAAAAGAAAACAGTACCTACCTCTTTGGACTGCTGAGTGGATTAAATGATATCACACAAGTAAAGTATTTAACATAGTAGCTGGTATTATAGCACATACTACGTTAAGTGACGTCTCTTCCCAAGTGAAAATCTGCTTTCTAGCCTCGAAAAATACTGAACCCAGGAAATGGCGTGGGGAAAGAATGAGGGGCAAGGGAAGAGCAGGGGGGAAACATGTCCTTGCTACCCTTCCTTGAAAATTTACGAAGGAGATTTACCCTTTACTGAAAAACGGGCCATATAAACTGCTGGGGCGGTGTCGGCAGCCCTAGCCTGACCTGCGGAAGGGTCTCTGGGCAGGGACAGAACAGGTTTGACCCACGTGCTCCCTCCTCCCAGCACCTCCCATTTCCCTCGGCGCTCCCCGCGCTAGATGTTCAGCGACTTTAGCTTTTTAGATTCAACCAACACTGCCGCCGCGCATTGAGAGAGCTGCCCATCCCGGGGATCTTGCCCAGTTCGGCCCTGCAGAAAGTACCTCAGCAGTCAGCCCCCGACTGGCACCGGAGAAAACGCAAACGCCGCCGCAGTTTAGAGCAAATGACCGGAACTCCGCCCGCTACCTCTCTGATTGGGTAAATATGCACAGGAAAATGAAGAGGATTGGTCAGCAGCAGAGAGGCGGGCCATAGCCCCAGGAAGCGCAAGAGGCGAGGGGTGGAGGGGCGAGGAATTTGCCAGGAGCCGCGCTCTCTCCCCAGCTCCCGATTAGACGAGAGCAGGACGACTGCGCCTGCGTAGACCCAGTTTACGAAAGCGCCGCACACAAGGTCCCCGTACGTTACGCGAACGGAAGTTTCAGCGATCCCATTGGTTGTGGTGAAGTCGTCTCTATGCGTGGCCAATGACGAGCAGGAATAAGGCGGATTCCGCTTTTTGTCCGGCGGAGTGGACTTTTTCGCGGGTACTGGGCAGCCTGGGATGCTTTCAGCGTTTAGCTTCTACCGAGCCAAACTTGGGTAGAGAATTGTTATGGTGACTAGGAGAGTTCTACTGAGGGTGAGGCATAATTTAGTAGTTAGAATCAGGCCCTGAAACAACCACATATGCTCAGAAAGCCCAAATAATACCTCAGTGTTCGAACGCAAAGGAACCTGCCCTTCAGACCGTCGTTGGTGTTGCTGAACGTGGCGTAGAAGTTCTCTGGCTCTGCCAGTGGTGAAAAGTTATCAATTTGAGGGTAGCTCCGCCTCGGCCTCAGGATCTCTGGGATTTGTAGTCCCGGACGCTCAAGTCCCACAACTTTAAATGTGGTTGTCACTGTACTTCTTCCGTGTATATATAAAAAATATGTTTAATAACACCCACTGACATTTATTGTTGTTCTGATGTGTTCCGTTGGGCTTTTTTTCCTTTGGTTTATCAGCACCATTAAAGGCAAAGGACGCTTAGGAAAAATGGAAAGATTTCATGTATGTTCGTAAAAGATAAATGTTAGCGTTTCCAACAAACATTTCACTTCTGTGCCTGGCACTCTGCTACATATTCGTGCTCACCGCACTGAGTGGATAAAATTCTCTTTGTAAAATTTTTGCCATTACAACAAACGACCTTTTTTTTCCATGTTAATGTCCACTCCAAAATATTTGAACAGTACCCTAAATTTAACAATTATGTATACTATGATGGCATGGGTAGCAGCTGCTTACATAAATCAAGTGTTGAGATGACAGGAAGCAGAACTGGCTGCTGTCTTGACTGGAAAATAGTGCTACAGTTAAGCATTACCAACACAGGAAGAACATACATTGTATGTTATTAAAGATTGTATTATGGTGTCTATTTTCAGCCTTTATTATAACAGTTTAGGGCATGGTTTCCCTGCCTTTATTGAATCATGAACTCCTTTCACTTCTGTGACATCATTAGGAATATTTCATCACTTTTGTGTCTAGCAAAAGTAAAAATCAATTTATAATACCAAAAACTTTTCCTGAGTAGACTTTTCTCTTTTAACAAATTTTGATTTTTTTTCCTACTTAACATGTCATACAAACTGTTTCCCTTGTATAAGAAAAAACATGATTTGGGGTATATATAATAGTTCTACATTTCTAGATTAAAAATAAAGTACACTTTACAGGATTAAAACAAAGAAAAAACTGCTTTCATGACTGATAGTTGGAATTGTTGCATTTTTGTTTTAAAAATATTATTTTTGTAATTTTTGTGTCTTATTTCTAAATGATGAGAAAAAGTTTCAGGTTGTTGTTTGTAAATGAAACATTGCAGATCTAACTCTTTTTTATTCCCACTAAATAAAGAGCCAAATTGGGTGTAATCATCGCTGTAGTTCTCCTTTTAATATTCTACATGAAGTACTAAGTGAAATGTTTAGATATAGTGAAGATCACCCTGATGGCTGGGCGCGGTGGCTCACGCCTGTAATCCTAGCACTCTGGGAAGCTGAGGCGGGAGGATGGCTTGAGTTCAGGAGTTCAAGACCACCCTGAGCAAGAGCTAGACCCCCGTCTCTACTAAAAATAGAAAAAATTATCCAGGCATGGTGGCGCGTGCTCCAGCTACTCAGGAGGCTGAGGCAGGAGGTCACTTGAGCCCAGGAGTTTGAGGTTGCTGTGAGCTAGGCTGACGCCACTGCACTCTAGCCTGGGCAACACAACGACACTCTGTCTCAAAAAAAAAAAAAAAAAGGCTATTACTGTGGACTAGTCCAAGTGCAGTGGTATTTACAACTAATTGATCACAACCAGTTACAGATTCCTTTGTTCCATCTCCACTCCCACTGCTTCACTTGACCAGCCTTAAAAAAAAATAAAGAACAAAAGACTACTACTGTGGTTAGCAGTGTTTAGATGAGTGGTAAACTAACTGACTACCTTATGGGCACATTTGGCTGATGTACATTAACTGTAACTCTAAGTGCTCACTCAGCAGACTTTTGGAAGATCCCCAAAATGTTCCATTTTAAAAAGAAAAAACTTAAATAATTATTTTGTTTGTTGAAAATTTAAAAATAGAATTTGAAACAGACACCATTACTGCCTTTAACAGTATGAACCCCTGCATCATCTTTGTACTCCATCTGTTGAAAAATAGTTTAAGGAGTGACCTCAAAGTGAAATAAATGAAAGATGACTCTTGAGATACAGGAAGAGAATATTAGAACTCCTATTTGTATTTACTTCTTTTTTTTTTTTTTGAGACAGAGTCTCACTCTGTTGCCCTGGCTAGAGTGGGTGCTGTGGTGTCAGCCTAGCTCACAGCAACCTCACACTCCTGGCCTCAAGCGATCCTCCTGCCTCAGCCTCCCGAGTAGCTGGGACTACGGGCATGCGCCACCATGCCCGGCTAATTTTTTCCATATATTTTTAGTTGTCCAGATAATTTCTTTCTATTTTTTTTAGTAGAGATGGGGTCTCGCTCTTGCTCAGGCTGGTCTCGAACTCCTGAGCTCAAACAATCCACCAACCTCAGCCTCCCAGAGTGCTAGGAGTACTGTATTTACTTTTTAATCTCAACATTTTCTTCCATGTCTATTTTTTAAAATTTTGTATAAACAGTATAAACTTTTTGATATATATGTAAAGTATAATAATATAATATATATGTATTGGAGTAAATGGTAAAAATTTCTTTCTATTGAGAAGTATAAAATAAAAATAATTAATAAATCTGGAAGTTAGTGATTTAGGATATGACAACTGCAGTTTAAAATAAAAATCTCAGTCAGGTGTGGTGGCTCATGCCTGTAATCCCAGTGCTTTGAGAATCCCAGTGCAGGAGAATCTTTTGATGCCAGGAGTTTGAAACCAGCCTGGGCAACATAGTAAGACACTGCCTCTACCAAAAAAATACATATTGTGGTGGGGATACCTGTAGTCCCAGCTACTTAGGAGGCTGAAATGAGAGGATCGCTTGAGGCCAAGAGTTTGAGTGAGCTATGAGTGTGCCATGCACTCCAGCCTGAGGGATGGAGCGAGGCCCCATCTCATAAATAAATAAATAAATAAATAATCAATCAATCAATCTCGGCAATTGAAGTCAAAGGAGAAAACAGAAATGTTTTTATAAGCATCTGGTAAGAAGGAAAACTAAAAGAACTGAGTTTTTATGTCCAAAATAGAAAAAAAAAAAGGCTGAATACTCTTATTTTTTTTATTAAGCCCCCCCTTATTCTGTCTCCTGAGTGCTATTCTCAAATTTAAGTTATCACTGAAGAGCTACTGAAAAAGAAAAAAAAAAAAAACCCTTTTATCTGAGAAATGCAAGCCCCTTTCAATTATCAGGCCCCAGAGAGGCATTTATTAATAAAATGTAACATCAGTCACATCTCACTCCCCCTTGAACTAAATAATTACCTCTTTGAAGCCACTTGCTATGCAAGTTCTAGACTAACACACACCAAGCAGCCATAAAAGGCCATATACCCTGTAGTTCAACAGTGTACGGCCAATGACTAACCAATGTTGTATCTGTAAACCAATGAGAATTCCTGCCAAACAACTTTTGTAATCACCCCCTCTCCTGATTTGTTCTTTTTACCTTAAAAACTTGGGCCTCTCTTTTGTTCTCTGGAGCATTCCGAAAGGCAATTTGGAAGTGTCCCAGGCTGTAGTCCTCAGCTGTGGACCAAATAAACTCTGTATTAATTTTGCCTCAGATTCTTCCTTTAAGGTCAACACTACCAAGAAGAAAGTTTTAAGAAATAGTTTTAAATTGCAGTATGGGGCTGGGTGGGGTTGCTCACACCTCTAATCCCAGCACTTTGGAAAACTGAGGCTGGAGTATCACTTAAGGCCAGGAGTTTGAGACCAGCCTGGGCAACATAGCCAGACTCCCTCTCTACAAAAAAAATATAAAATAAGCCGGGTGTTCTGGTGCATGCCTGTATTCCTAGCTGCTTGGGAGGCTGAGTCTAGAGACTCGCTTGAGCCCAGGAGTTCAAGGTTACAGTGAGCTATGATCAGGCCACTGCACTCCAGCCTGGGTGACAGAGCAAGACTGTCTCAAAAAGAAAAAAATATATATACCCACACATGCTCACATATATATGCACAAATATTTGTATTTGCTACCCTGAAGTCTAAATTGTACATGATATTCAAAATTAATTAATTAATTTAAAATTTTAGAATGAGCTGGGTACAGTGCCCAGTTAGTGCCCAGTTAGTACAATCCCAGTTACTCGGGAGGCCAAGGCAGGAGGATAACTTGAGCCCAGGAGTTTGAGATCAACCCTCATCTCAAAAAAAAACAAAAACAAGTTGTACATAATGTTACTTGCACATTCTCATGCTCAATCACAACAGTAGGGCTCCACGAGAGAAACAGAACCAGTAGGAGATATATTAATATATTAAAGGATTTTTTTTTGTCAAGGAATTATTTTATACAATTTTATACAGTCGGGAGGCCTGGGTAGGCAAGTATGAAGTCACTAGAGTAGACCATCGGGAAAGGTAGGTAGAACTGAAGCATGAGTTGAAGCAGCAGTCTAAAGCAGAATTTCTTCTGGGAAACATGTTCTGCTTTTTAGGCCTTTCAACAGATTGAATCAGGCCCA